ACCACAAGATCTGAACGGTTAAAAAATTCAAATCAACGATCAGGGAAAGTGCTCACGGGCTCGGCTATCTAGGGGGTGTGCACCGGATTCAAAACCTATATATATATATATATATATATATATATATATATATATATATATATATATATATATATAACAAACCCATAATAGTACACCAGCGAACCAACAAATCGTGAAAAAAACAAAATGAAACAAACAACAAACTTGGAAAAAAAAAAAAGAAACACTGAATCGGCCAAAAGTATTACTAGAACTGGACGCGGAGGAGATGCCCCTAAGCCGCTTAAACTGCCTCTTGCTGGAATCAGCCATGAGAACGCTCGGATCACCTGTGTTGCGGACGGAAGAGACGAGCGGAAGGGTTTGAGGCGGCAGTAACGAGGAGGTTGAGAGAATGGAATGGGAAGCGAGAACAAGAGGAGAGAAATAAAAAGAAATCTTATTATAACTAAATACCCACGCAATGCACCGGATTCAAAATCTATATATATATATATATATATATATATATATATATATATATATATATATATATATATATATATATATATATATATAAGTGTATTCAAATGAGGACAACTATATTATAGAGGACTGTGAGGACAGATGTAGTCGTGTGTCATTAGTCTGTATGTTGTGTGCATGGCCGAATGTAGTCGTGTGCATAGATTCGTTAATTAATAGAGTCTGCGTTCAAAACTCGATGTTTACATGTATTCTAGTGTGCCATTGTGTATTAAATTGTGTGCATGATACTAATTTGTTGTGTGCCCATTATCTGTCTGCACAGTCATCTATATATTACTGTCCTCATGTGAACGCAACCTTATATATAATGGGCTATATATATATATATATATATATATATATATATATATATATATATATATATATATATATATATATATATAGGATCATATGAAAATACTTGCTTAGGTGAGAATGTGAGAACAAATCGTGTGCATTTATCTAATATTTTTTAATAGTCTAGATTAGATTAAGTGTGTGCGAACGCGAATTAAATGTGTGCAAACGCACTTAATCACGTTTGCACACATTTAATTCGCGTTCGCACACACTTAATTAGATGGATGCATACCATTTGTTCTCACCTAAGCAAGTGTTGTCATTGAAACCCTACCCTACCCTATATATATATATATATATATATATATATATATATATATATATATATATATATATATATATATATATATATATATATATATATATATATATATATATATATATATACACACCATTTGTCCGCATTCCCCGTCCCCGTATGAGCGGGAATCGGATTCCCCTAAATTGACATCCACTGATTTTCTTCATATTCCTAGAGCAATAATTAGCAATGCATTGCAATAAAATATATATATACACCATTTGTCCACATTCCCCGTCCCCGTATGAGCGAGAATCGGGTTCCCCTAAATTGACATCCACTGATTTTCTTCATATTCCTAGAGCAATAATTAGCAATGCATTGCAATAAAATATATATATACACTATTTGTCCACATTCCCCGTCCCCGTATGAGCGGAAATCGGGTTCCCCTAAATTGACATCCACTGATTTTCTTCATATTCCTAGAGCAATAATTAGCAATGCATTGCAATAAAATATATATATACACTATTTGTCCACATTCCCCGTCCCCGTATGAGCGGAAATCGGGTTCCCCTAAATTGACATCCACTGATTTTCTTCATATTCCTAGATCAGTAATTAACAATGCATTGTAATAAAATATTAACAATAATATATATATATATATATATATATATATATATATATATATATATATATATATATATATGACAAAAAAACAAAGGATATGTTCTAAAAAAAAAAAAGGATATAAATTGATTTTGGAAAGTAACAAAAATGAAAAAGAATTTATCCGAAGTTTATCTATGCCATCATCATACGCAAGACTCAGGTGAGACTTGAGAGAGAGGGGAGTTAAAGAGAGAGAGAGAGATAGAGAGAGAGGGAGGTTGAAGTTAGGGTTTTGAAGAAGGGGAAGAGGAAGAAAAACAATGGAGGCTATCACAGAGGGAATCAACAACGTTAATATTTCTTCTACCAACTCCGAACCCCAAAAGAAGAACCGAATCCAAGTCTCCAACACCAAGAAATCCCTCTTCTTCTATGTCAACCTATCCAAGGTTCTCGCTATGTTATCTCGCCGTATATATTTGTATGCATTGATGTTTAAGTTCTAAACTGTGTTTTTAAATATATACTTGATTGTTTGGAGCTATACGCAGGGCTTTATTTTAATGGTGTTTCTCTGTTTGTGTAAATAATTGCTATAAAGAGCTGTGTTTGAGTGTGCATTGCTTGCTTGTGGATGCTTGGATGAATATCTCTGATTGTTTTTAGGGTGTAAATGCATATATAAACTTGATATCATTTTGTGTCTAGGAAAAAATGTATGAAGTTGCTGTTTGTGGTGTAGTTTGCTTAATGGCTAATGCTATTCCTTTTTTGTTTGGATTGCTGGTAAAGGATTTTGAACTGTTCTGATTTAAGTAAATATTGAGCAAGGACATTATCTAATCTCCATGAATTGAAAACATATATCTCTTCTTAAAGCCTTTGCTGATGGGTTCCTGGGATGAGCTTTAGTGCTTCGTTTATGTGTGTTTGGAGATGTATGTATGTATGTATGTGTTTACACCCATGAACCATCCGTATATGTAGAGAAGTTTGTTTGAAGGAATTCTGTTTTCTTATTATAAGTATATGTATTGAGTGGATATGGTTTCTTTGACGGAGTTGATTGTTCATGTGCAGAGGTACCTGCAACAATACAATGAAGTGGAACTCTCTGCACTTGGAATGGGTATATCCTCTCGCCTCTCATTTTCATGAACTTTGATTCTTTGGCTAATTATGAATGGGACATCTATGGTTCGCTTTGGGTTTGTTCAATTTTTCATTTTAATCCTGTTCCCAAGTGGAAGATTCTTTATCTTTGCATCTAAGATGCATTAGTAACCTTAATGTTGTGTACATATAAATTATCTCCTTACACAAGGTGATTTGGCAAGCCGGGTCCAAAATTACTCTTTAGTTGTATAAAACCCTTTGTTAGTCAATAATACTTTCCTTTAATAGAAGAGTGATATTCATGAGCTTTCTATGACTTGAAGTGTTTTTTTCCTTTGCTAACTTTTGTAAAACAGCTCAAAGGTTCTCAAAATTACTAATCTTGAATTTAAACTGCTTCCAAGTTCAGTGGCCTTTGGTCAAAAGTCTGAAGCAAAAAAAAAGGGTAAACATTTTAAACATACTGGTAAACATTGGATTTGTCATTTGTGTACAAATGCGGAAGAAAATGGTTTTACATTCGTGTATGCAGTTGGTAGTTTTTTTTTTTTTTTTTTTTTTTTTTGGTCTTGTGCAATCCTTTGTCTGGTTGGAATGATCAGCTCGTTTGGGCTTCCAGCCATGCTATTTGCAGTGGATTCTTAGAGAAAAGAAAACCCACTGAAGAATGAACGATGAAAACTAAGGTCAAAGTGACCAACAGTCAATGTGAAGTGAATTTCTTTTCAGTTCGTTTTGTGTTATTTGTGTTGAATTCAAAAGGAAAATACATGTGTAAATTACAAAATGCAATCATGTATCTCTTAGCTTCATAGCTCAGCAAACTATTTTTGCTGAACAAAGAAAATTTGTGTAATTTCCAAGGGAAAAGAAATAATGTAAGTGTTTTTTTTTTTTTTTTTTTTTTTTTTTTTTTTTTTTTATGTGATTGAGCTGCTATTTGAGTAGTGTTTTTAGTAGTATTACATTGCTTATTCTCATTACATACACCTTTAGAAAAAAAAAAAAAAAAAAAAGCTTATAGTCTTCTTATAAAAAAAAAAAAAAAAGTAAGAAATTAACAATGTGCCAATGTCGTTCCTGCAGCTATCTCTACAGTGGTTACAGTTGCTGAAATATTGAAGAACAATGGGTTTGCCATTGAAAAGAGTGAGGCTCCCTGCCTTTATACTTCTCATATTTTTTCCTAGCCTCTCTTTAGAATGTTTAATATGGAGTAACATTTTCGACATCTATGTTGTATGCAGAGATAAGGACACTTACAGTGGACATGAGAGATGAACCAGGAAGTCGACCTGTATCAAAAGCTAGGGTAACTTTTAAAAAATTGGTTCCCCTTTTGACGAACCTAGCTTCTCTCGTACTACCTGCACAACCACCAATTCTTACTCCTCTCTCCCTGTCATCTCATCTAAACAAAAATTCTCACCTCTTTCATTACAAACTTTTCTTTGTTCTCACTTTCTAAAGGTAAGCATTTATTAATGTTCTCTCATTTGTGTAGATTGAGGTAGTGCTGGGGAAGACGGAGAAGTTTGATGAACTGATGGCTGCCGAAGCTGAGCAAGCTGGAGGTGGTGAGGAGAGCAGAACTGAATCCTAAAGATTACATTTGTAGTAGTTGGTATTGTGCTCCGTTAGCAGCTTCCCCAGGCTAGTGATGTTTTAGAACTCATAAATTAGAGTTTTAAAAAAATTCTTGTTTAAAAAACTTATAATTCATTAATTTGGTAGATGACTTGATAATTAGCAATGTTTGTATGTTCTTGTATGCAGTATTGCAATCTTTTGTTTCTGTGTAGCCTTTCTGTTTCCCCCCTCAATTTTTACAGTGCTCAATGGTGTACCAAGTCTGAGTTCCAAGCAAATTTGCAACTTTACCTGAATACTAGATTGTCTTGGGTAAAACATAGAATAATAAAATGCTAATTAAGGTTGACAATATCAAAAGTATATATTCTTTTAATTGTGATATTTATCGATTGTAAATATGAACAAGTAAAATTCAAAGTAGATACGGAGTATATATCAATTGTAATATGGAAGCTTAATGTATTGATATGAAGTAAAATCCAAGTTTAAATCGTTGTAATCGGGAAGTGAGAAAAGTAGGCAAAATATGTAGGTGCACTAAAATCTGAACTCTTGTCCCACATCGAAAATGTAGTGGTTTTAAGCAGCTTTGGAGTACTATATATTAAGGTAGCTGATGAAGGAAGAAATTCACGCAGCCACGCAGTGGGCACAAAGCGAACTATTCTTTCGCCTTTTACTAAAGAATACCGTGTGCACGTTGCAAATAGTGGCATACGCCAATTTTTGGAGGGTTGCATCTCTTTGATGCACCCAACCAATTTTAGTTTTTAATTTTTATTTTTATAATAATTTGACAGTTATGAACGTCCGAGATCATCTAGTTTCTCCTCACTTTATGTGAAAATTCCTCCCCCTTCCCTCGCCCAACCCTTGCCACTAAAAATTAAAGAGTTCTATACATACTTTTGAGAGGGCGTATAAAATATTTTCCAAATTAAAATGTCCGAGGGAGTATAAAATATTTTCCAAATTAAAATGTCCGACAGTGAATAATTCTTGATTTTTTGTACATAGTAGATCACCTAAATCGGAGTAAAAAGTTATGGAGACTGAATAATCTTGATTTTTTTATGTTTATATTTTTAATTTTCGATGGTCACCTAAATCCGAGTAAAAAATTATGGATGGAGAAAGTCTCATATTTTTAATTTTTGATGGTCACCTAAATCCGAGTAAAAAATTATGGATGGAGAAAGTTAATAAAAAATATGGATGGAGAAAGTTAATAAAAAATTATGGAGAAAGTTGGAGAAAGTTAATAAAAAATATGGATGGAGAAAGTTAATAAAAAATTATGGAGAAAGTTAAAAAAGAGGGGTAATATTATAGCTAAACATAATTTTAAATTAAAATAGAGGTAAAAAAACAAATTATGGATAAAGTTAAAAGGGGTGATATTTTGGTTAAACATAGTTTTAAATTAAATTAAGAGATACTCATTAGAGAGAAAAATTGAAAGAATTAGTCATTAAAATTTAAAATAATATTGATCAACTTGTAGAGTAATAGTTGCAGGTTTTGGGAGAGGAGTGAGAAATTATTTAGAAAAGAATTAGTCATTAAAGTAAATATTAATCAACTAGTAGTTACAAGTTTTGGGAGAAGTATGGCTAATTGGCTATTTATATAATTTAGCATTATTATAAGTAACTATTGGAATTCCAAAGTTTCATTCTTCTCCCTTTTGAGTTAGCCCTCACTCGAAGTAGAGATCTTGATACAAGTGGCTTATCATTGGCTCTTTCATTATCCCGACCAATATCTTCGAAATAGAGATTTCGATACAAATGACATATCATTGTCTCTTTTGTTGTCCCGAACTAATGTCTTCGGAGTAAAGATTTTGGATACAAGTGGCGTATCATTGGTTTGTTCATTGTTCTGAATTGAACCATTCAAGACATTTTATTCCTTTTGAGTTGGCGTACTTAGATATTCAGGTGCTTATAGCTGTAGATATGAAAGAGTGAAATCCAAGATTACATCTTTTTCAATCCCAGCTGCTATATTTGGATCGTTGTAATATTCAATCATTATGCTCTGTTTCTCTGCTTTTCCTCTTTTTGTTTTGAGTTATCCCAACTCCATTGAAGGTTAGAAAGTGAAAACCAAAGCGATAAAGTCGCACATCGTATAGACAGTAGCGTCAAGAAGCTTTTGGACTAGTATATAAGGATCGAAGAGCACTAATTAAACTTACACAACCATGCAATGAGCACACATCGAATTATTCTTTTGCCTTTTACTAAAGAATACCGTGTGCTTGTTAGAAATAGTGGCATACCCCATTTTTTGGAGAAGACCTTTCTGGTAGGGGTTCTCAGCCAATTTAAGTTTAATTAAAGCTTTTTTTTTTTTTTTTTTGCCAAGGACCTTGTGGTCCAATGGCACCAAGTTGCTTCCTCATAGGAGAGATTGTGAGTTCAAGCCTCAATGGAGGTGATATTGGCTCTTTGTGCTCCGTTTGATTGAGAAAGTAGTTATGAACAGATAATGACCTTGTTTGGTAATATAATTAGCTTTGACTGTTATCAACTAGTCAAACACACTAACCCAATCATCTAACAACTATTTACTAAACACTTTCAATATGTTCTTTTGTAATGAACCATGTTATCAAATGATGTGGGATTAATCGTCCAAGGTTCCACCATTTTGTGTGACGAATTCCGGCCAGCACCCTTCACCAAAAGGATTCACCATTTTGTTTCTGTGCAGTCTTCTGTTTCCCCCCCCTCAAATTTTACAGTACTCAATGGTGTACCAAGTCTGAGTTCCAAGAAAATTTGCAACTTTACCTGAATACTAGACTATCTTGGGTAAAACATAGTATAGAATGCTGATTAAGGCCGGTTGACAATATCAAAAGTATATGTTCTTTTAATTGTGATATTTATCGATTTTAAATATGAACAAGTAAAATTCAAAGTTGTTATATATCAATTGTAATATGGAAGCTTAAATGTATTGATATGAAGTAAAATCCGAGTTTAAATCTTTGTAATCGGAAAGTGAGAAAAGTACGCAAAAAAATGTAGGTGTATTAAAAACAGAACTCTGTCCTACATCAAAAATGTAGTGGTTTCAAGCGGCTTTGGAGTAGTATATATAAATGTAGCAGATAAACGAAGCAATTAACGCAGCCACGCAGTGGGCGCAAAGCGAACTATTCTTTCGCCTTTTACTAAAGAATACCGTGTGCACGCTGCAAATAGTGGCATACGCCAATTTTTGGAGGGTTCATCTCTTAGATGCACCCAACCAATTTTAGTTATTAGATTTTCAATTTTACTGTTTACGGACGTCTGAGATTCATCTTGTTTCTCCTCATTTAGTGTGCTGTTATTTCCCAATGTGTTACTCATTGCGAAAAAAATTATATGCCCCCCAACCACCACATTTTCTTTGAGTTAACGTTCTCCAGACGTGAGAAACAGATCAAACAATTGCTGACTTTTGCCACAAAAAATTATAGGAGTTCACATACACCTTTAATTCTACACCCGGTTATTTTTTATTGTTGGGGTACAATACAATGAAGTCTTCAGTAAAAATTGAGAGTCTACCAAGTAATTTTCAAATGTTTGAGAGCGAATAATCTTGATTTTTTTTTTTTTTTATGTTCATAATTTTAAATTTTAAAATGTTTGAGAGCTGTTCATAATTTTAAATTTTAAAATGTTTTGAGAGCGAGTAATCTTGATTTTTTTATGTTCATAATTTTAAATTTTGATGATTACCTAAATTCGAGTAAAAAATTTTCAAATGTCCGACAACGTTATCTTGATTTTTTTTGTTCATAATTTTAATTTTCGATGATCACCTAGATCTGTTCATAATTTTAATTTTCGATGATCACCTAGATCCGAGTAAAAAAATATGGAGAAAGTTAAAAGAGGGGTAATATTATAGCTAAACTGTCACAATCCTCCAATCTCAATAACAAAATCATAGGAAAAGGTTAAGAAAGAAGAAGAATATTTAGGGTTCTAGGAGAAATTTAGGAAAAGAAATTAGGGTTTGTGAAAGTTCATTCCCAACATACAAAAAGCATAAAAAATATCCTCTCCCTAATCTGGAATATATCCCAAAAAGCTAATGCTGCTATCATCCTAACCACCTCCGCATTTCTCGCTTTTGTCCTCTTCTGCATCTTCATTCCAGAATCATCCTTGCTGAGGTAGCCAACCGCTCTCCTTCGTACGACGTCGTTCAGCTTTTATTTAGAAAACGGTCTCCAACGGTCTTCTTCCTACGACGTCGTCTGGTTTAAGTGGCAACAGCTATTATAACACCCAAACGCCGTCGTTTTAGTCCTCGACTTCTCTTACTTAGTTTATTTTTGAATCAGAGTGGCTTCTCTCTTCTTCATGTATTCCTCTTCTATACTTAGGGTCATGACATTGCCCTCTCCTTCACGAGATCCTTGTCCCCAAGGATCGAAATTTGGAAATTGCTTAGTCACATGCTTGTAGCTTTCCCAAGTAGCAGCCTCCTTGGATAGGTTTGCCCATTGTACCAAGATCTCAACTTCTGCTGCATTATTCTTCTTCACCAATCTCTTCCCCAAGGTAGCCACTGGATGAGTTAAGACCATTCCCTCTGGATCTGTGATAGGCAACTCTCTTTGAGGTTCCACTCCACCCCCAACCCTTTTTTTTAGCAAGGAAACATGAAACACTGGGTGAATGGCAGCCTCCTTTGGAAGTCTCAGTTTATAAGCTACCTTGCCAATTTTCTCAATCACTTCATAAGGCCCATAAAATCTGGGAGTTAACTTGATGTTAGACCTAACTGCCATTGTGACCTGTTTGTAAGGCTGGATTTTAAGATACACCCAATCTCCCACCTCAAGGTTTCTTTCACTTCTGTGCTTATCAGCTTGCTGCTTCATCCTTACTTGAGCCTTATGGAGGTTTTCTTTGAGTAGGGCCACCATGGTGGCTCTTTCCTTGAACCAGATGCTTCCCTCTTCTTCTACTGCATTGTCAAAGTTCCAAACTGGAGGGGGGTAACCATAAAGAGCCTGAAAAGGGGAGCACTGCAAGGAAGTGTGAAAATTGGTATTGTACCAATGTTCTGCCAAATGTAACCATTTAACCCAAGCCTTGGGTCTATGGAAGACCATACATCTCAGATAAGTTTCCACACACTTGTTAACTCTCTCTGTTTGTCCATCACTCTGTGGATGGTAAGCAGAAGACATACTCAGCTTCACTTGTAATTGTTTAAATAAAAACTGCCAGAACTTGCTCAAAAAGACCTTATCCCTATCACTCACAATGTCCTGTGGAAGACCATGAAGTTTATAAATATGTTCCATGAACAATTCAGCTACTTTTTCAGCAGTATAAGGGTGTGAGAGGGCCAAGAAATGGCTATACTTAGTGAACCTGTCCACAATTACTAGTATAACCTCCTTCCCCTGGGAGTTGGGCAACCCTTCAATAAAGTTCATTGATATACTTCTCCAAGCTTGATCAGGTATTTTTAAGGGTTGTAACAGCCCTGGATAGGCTATACTTTCCTCTTTGCATCTTTGGCATACATCACAGCTACTGACCATATCCTTCACTTCCTTCTTCATGCCTCTCCAATAAAATAACTGCTTGAGTCTATGATAAGTAACTTGCTGTCCAGAGTGCCCTCCAATAGGGGAATTATGCATTTGTGCTAAGAGTTTGCCTCTCAAATCCCCCTTACTTCCAATATACAGCTTTCCCTTGTACCTAATCAACCCTTCTGTCACAGCAAACAGTGACCCTTCTTCAGAAGCAATCAAGTTCTCAGTCAGAATTTTGTAAGCTAGCTCATCTCCCTCATAGCTTTTTATGATTTCCTCCATCCACAAAGGTCTTACTGATGATATAGCCAATAGTTCAGCATGATCTCTTCTAGATAGTGCATCAGCTACACAATTTTCTACACCCCTCTTGTATTGGATTGTATAGTTTAAGCCCAATAACTTAGTTAAGCCCTTTTGTTGCATTGCTGTTGTAATTTTCTGTTCTAACAAGAACTTCAAGCTTTGATGGTCAGTCTTGATTAGGAAATGCCTCCCAAGCAAATAAGCTCTCCATTTATCAACTGCATTGATTATAGACAGGTACTCTTTTTCATATATTGATAAGCCCAAGTGTTTATTGCCAAATCCTTTGCTAAAGTATGCTACTGGTCTCCCTCCTTGCATCAAAACTGCCCCCATTCCTTTATAACAAGCATCAGCCTCAACAACAAATTCCTTATTGAAGTCAGGTAAGGTTAATACTGGAGCAGTGCACAAAGCCCTTTTTAATTCTTCAAAGGCACTCTCTGATTCTTCATTCCATTGAAAGGCATCCTTCTCCAACATGTTGGTAAGGGGCCTGCTTATAATCCCATATGACTTGATGAACCTTCTATAGTACCCAGTGAGACCTAGGAATCCCCTCAACCCCTTAAGGTTAGTTGGTTTGGGCCAAGCAACCACAGCAGACAGCTTAGTAGGATCAGTTTGCAACCCATGTTCTGATATTATATGTCCCAAATATTCCACTTCTGATTTGACAAAGGAACACTTGCTCATTTTAGCTAGTAACTGGTGGTCCTTCATAAGCTTCAATACTTCTCTTAAATCCCTCCAATGTTGTTCCAAGGATGAGCTGTATACCAATATATCATCAAAAAATGCTAACACTGTCTTCCTGATTAATGGTTTAAACACAAAGTTCATGAGAGCTTGGAAAGTTGCAGGAGCATTAGTAAGCCCAAAGGGCATTACTCTGAACTCATATAATCCTTGATGAGTTCTAAAAGCAGTCTTATGTTCCTCCCCTTTCTTCATTCTCACTTGATGGTATCCACTCCTTAAATCCAATTTGGAAAAGACCTTGGCATTTGCTAATTCAGAAAACAAATCTTCAACTAGTGGAATGGGAAATTTGTTCTTGATGGTTATCTCATTGAGAGCTCTGTAGTCAATGCAAAACCTCCATGAATTTTCTTTCTTTGGTACCAACAGTACAGGTGAGGCAAAGGAAGATGTACTAGCAGTAATAATCCCAGCAGACAACATCTCATCCACCATCTTCTCTATGGTGTTCTTCTGTATATATGAATACCTGTAAGGCTTGACATTTATGGGTTTAGCTCCTGGAACCAATGGAATTTCATGATCAAAAGCTCTGTGGGGTGGTAGTGTTTTAGGA